AACAGCGTCACTGCAGAGAAGCTCATCTATAGCTGCGCTGTAGAGATGGTGCAGTCTGCAGCCCTAGACGAGATGTTACAGCAGACGGAGGACATTGCGTACCGCTATCACAAGGCGGCCCTCCTCCTCGAAGGCCTGACCAAGATTCTCCAGGACCATGCGGACGTGGAAAATGTGCAGAAGTATAAATCTAGTATTGAAAGAAGGTTGTCGGCGCTCTGCGGCAGCTCTCCCACGCCCTGAGGAGCAGCAGGTGTCCTGGACCTGGTCTGCTGCCTGGTCACTACCAAAGAACGAGCAGTGATTTCAAAACAAAAACTACATGTTTGTAGGAAACCTGCCTTATTGGAAAGTCACCCCTTTCTTTTTTCTTTGTAGAAGCAGAAGCAAGAGTATGTTGTTTGGCTCTGTGTGAACTTGGTAAATAAATGTACCTTAGAGCTAGAAAAAAAAAAGAAAAGAAAAAGCAAATTGACATATTCAAGTTGTTCCAAACATACTTTTAAAAGTCTTCCAATAACTAAATCAAGCATCATTTTTTATTGTTATGTTTTTAAGATTTTTAAATCAATTTTTAGAGAGAGAGGAAAGAAAAGGGAGAGGGAGAGAGAGAGAGAGAGAGAGAGAGAGAGCTGGATGTGAGAGTGAAACATCAATTAACAGCCTCCTGCAATCCCCAACGGGAGTGGAAGCCTTCAAATGGGCTTGTGTGCTGACCAGAATTGAACTGGCAACCTTTTGGTGCACAGGACGATGCCCAACCAACTGAGCCACACTGGCCGGGGCCACCCACCATTTTTTCAAAAATGTATCTTCATTGTTGAAAGTCTTACAGATGTGCCCCTTGTTTGTTTGTTTGTCTTTGCCCCATTGACCCCCTCCACCCTGTACCCGCCCCTTCCAGGCCTTTACCACTCTCTTGTCTGTGTCCATGGGCATCTCAAAGAATTCTTTATTGTTGATAGTATGACATTTGTCCCTTTCCCCCGTTATCCTCTCCCCGCCTGCCTCCATGGCATTTTTAAAATCGGGGTATAATTTACATACCATAAAAGTTACCCATGGTCAGTATATGATTTCACTATATGCACTAGTTTAGAAGTTGAAATCTGAGTTATCTAAAATAAAATAAAAGTAGAAAATCCAGTTCCCCCTTCAAGCTAGCCACCTTTCCAGTCCCCAGTGACCACATGGGGCTGGGGCTACCATTTTGTGGAACACAGATGGGCCCCTCAGTGAGGCTGACTCGCTTTCCTCCTCCACCTTCTCTCTCTCAGTAAAATTCCAAAGAAATCACTAAATCATGGCAACTCCCAGCTACCACTATCATTTGTAATTCATCACCATCAACATTCTCTAGTCTATGGGCTTCTACAAAAACCAGCTGAGCTCGGGACAGCTCCTGTGTCAGGGATAAGCCTCGAGAGGCAGGAACTTGGAACTGAACTTGGACACTGTCCACCCTGCCCATCCCCTACCCCTGACACTCATGTTCTGGGCAGGGATCTGTGTGGCTGACCCCTATGAGGTGACAGTGGTGCAAGATTTCTTCATCGACCTGCAGCTGCCCTACTCTGTGGTTCTTAAGGAACATGTGGAGATCCGAGCCGTCCTCTACAACTACCGGGAAGTAGATACACTCACGGTGGGTCCTTGGAGCAGGAGAGGCACGAGGGGAGACCTGGAGAGGGGCCCATGGCGCATGCCCCTGACCTGATACTCTGTCCCTGGCAGGTGAGAGTAGAAATGCTCTACAATCCAGCCTTCTGCAGCTTGGCCACTGCCAAGAAGCGTCACCTGCAGACTGTATCCATCCCTCCCAAGTCCTCCCTGGCCGTGCCTTATGTCATTGTGCCCCTGAAGACTGGCCTGCAGGAGGTAGAGGTCAAGGCCACTGTCTATCGGTACTTCATCACCGACGGTGTAAGGAAGACCCTGAAGGTCGTGGTGAGTCCTTGGGGCACCTGCTGCCTCTTGTCCTTCAGGAGGGACTCTTGCTCTCCTTGTGCTGTCGACTCAGTTTGGAGCCCCAGGCTCTGAGACACTAATGCTGCCCGTGTTCAGCTTAGGAAAGTCAGGAGTCCCAGCAGTGTGAAAGCAGGGCCATGTGAGGCAGGGGTGACATTCTTCTGCGCATAAAATTCTAAGGGGGTGCCCAGACCTCAGCAGTAAAGATAAAAAATTGTTTTCCTTAAAATATAGTTTAACATCAAATATAATATTTTGTAGCATATTTCGGTATAAAGTTTTGTTTCGACTTTAAATATTTTGGGGAAACATATTTCACAGACCAAATTTTATAAAGCAATAATATATGATATAGGATATAGAAAAGTTCTACTTTTGAAATGTATATTTTTATTGATTTCAGAGAGAGGACGGGAGTGGGAGAAAGAAAGAAACATCAATGATGAGAATCATTGATTGGCTGCCTCCCACACGCCTCCTATTGGGGATCCAGCCTGCAACACAGCCATGCATCCAACCTGGAATGGAACGCTGACCTCCTGCTCCATGTGTCAGCACTCAAACACTGAGTCACACCGACCAGGCAGCAAAGTTCTGTTTTTACCAGTGTTTTCAGATTTTTTAAAATTTTATGAGTTTATTGAGCCAAACTGACTAACATGTGTTGGGGAACAAGATCTCAAATGTTCCATTACCTGTGATTTTTGGCCTTAAAATATACATTAACAGTTACATTATTACTTTTTCCCACAGTTTGGAACACTTTCAAATATAATAAGAGATAGAATCATCAGGAAAAGACTTTTGTCATTTTTTTCCTTGTGAATATTTTTATCACTATTTTTTATTGTTTAAAGTATTACATATGTTTCCTTTTCCCCGATTCACCCACCACCACCATCACCACACCCGCCCCCCAGGACAAGCCCCCACCGCCCCAGTGTCCGTGTCCATTGGTTATGCTAATATGCACATGTAGATGTACCACAGTTTAATCCACTCATCTGCTGATGGGCACTTAGGCTGTTTCCAAATCTTAGCTATTCTAACTTGTGCTGCTATGCACATAGGGTTGCACATGTCCTTTCTGATTGGTGTTTCTCTTGGCATATATTCCCAGAAGTGGGATTACTGGGTTTAAAGTGAGTTCCATTTTTAATTTTTTGAGGAATCTCCTTTTGTCATTTTTTAAATATTTTAGAGTAAAACAAGTTCATAAGCAGATCACTAATATTTTATTTATTTATTTATCTAATTTTAAAATAAAATACTTTGATAACATTTATGAGGCTCATACTCCAGTTCTGTTCTACAAGCTGTGTGACTCTGAGCAAGTTACTTCAGCTCTCTGTTCTCCAATTTCCCCATCTTTATAAGTTTGTGTTTTGTTTTGTTTTAAGACTTTTTTATTGACTTTGAGAGAGAGCAAAGGAGAGGGAGAGAGGGAGAAACATCAATGTGAGAGTGATATATACATCTGATGCTTCCTGCATGCCCTCTACCTGGGATCAAGCCTGGAACCTGGGCATGTGCCCTGACCTGGAATCAAACCAGCAAACTTTCTGTGTACGGGACAAGCCCAACCAACTGAGCCACACCAGGCTGGACCTGCTTGCCCATCTTTAAAATGGGAATGATAATAGTGGTACTCTAAATGAGTTAGCCTGAATAAAGAAAGCTTCTAGGCACATAGACTTCAAAAGGCTTTGTTGTATTATTGTTATTAATTTATAATGATGTTATTTTATCATACAATAGTATGAGGTAGATGTTTGTATTGCCTTCTCCCTATAAGGAAGGAAGCTGAGACACAGAGAGGTTAAGTAACTGGCTCCCAGTCACACAGCTAAGACTGGCAGATGCCGTCTAGGCTACGGTAATCCCCAGAACAGTGCCCTGCTGACCAGCTGCAGCTCTGTCTGTCCTTTTATTCACCCAACTCCCCCTTCCCTCAACACTGTCCAGCCTGAAGGAATCAGAATGAACAAAACTGTGGCCGTTAAGACACTGGATCCACAACACCTGGGCCAAAGTGAGTCAGGGCAGGAGTGGGGGTGAGGCCTGGGTGGTGTGCAGGGCCTGGTGAAAGGAGGCTGGTGCCAAGGGTGTCTCCCATTCCACCAACAGACGGTGTGCAGCGAGTGGAGGTCGAGGCTGCAGACCTCAGTGACCAAGTCCCTGACACAGAGTCGGAAACCAGGATCCTCCTGCAGGGTGAGATGGCCTTGGTCCAACCCCATGGGGCCCAGGAAAGTGTGGGAGCCATGACCCCCCAAGAGGGTGCCCAGTTCCATCACTTCCGGGAATATTGAACCATGGCGCCTCTCTCCTTCTCATGTGCTAAAACAGACTCTCCTTGTGCTCACAGAAGGCTCCAGGCAGTACTTAGCTTCTGCTGATAAAGAAGCTTCAATGAGAAGTGATAGAGTTCAAGAACAGAAATTCTGGAACGAATTGCCCAGGATGGAGGACTGGGAGGAGAAGGCACAGGAAGGAGCTAGCATAGTCCCTTGCAACCTCTGAGCTCTTAGGTTTGGGATAGAGATTCTTGGTTTCCTGATCTGTGATGAAGGCAAATAGTGGTACCTGTTTCGAGGGTTGTTGGGAAAATTAAATGAGATGTTATATAGTGTTCTCTTAGAAGGGAGTTTGGCAAAGGGCATTAAGCATGATAGACGTATTCATGACCATTGTTCCTGGAACTGTTTTACCACTGGTGGCACATGAGGACCCATGGACAACCCCCCTGATCCCCTTCAGCCTCATGCCTCCAGCCGCCAGCTGTCCCTGACTCCCTGACTCTTTGGCCCTGGCTGGTTGGAGCCTGGGAAGGCTGGGAGTAGCCCCGACCCTCTTCACCCCATAGTGTGTCTTATTGCTTGAACGCCATCCTTCCTCCTGGCTGCAGGGACCCCAGTGGCCCAGATGGCAGAGGAGGCCATTGATGGGCAGCGGCTGAAACACCTCATTGTGACCCCCGGGGGCAGTGGAGAGCATCACATGATCGGTGTGACGCCCACGGTCATCGCGGTGCACTACCTGGACCACTCTGAGCAGTGGGACAAGTTTGGCATTGACAAGCGGCAGGAGGCCCTGGAACTCATCAAGAAGGGTATGTCCCCTTCCCCTATTGGAGGCCCCCACTCTGAGGCCCCTCTCTGAGCTCCTTCCTCCTCTGAGGTCCCGCCCCCTCTAGAGGCCCCGACCCTTCTCTGAGACCTCCTGCTCTCCCCTCTTTGAGACCATAGTCCCTCTGAGTTCCTTCTTTCAATGAACCCCTGTAAGATCCCTTCTCTCTCTGAACCCCCTCTCCTCTGAGAAGCTTTTACTCCTCCTCACTCTGATCCCTGCACCCTTGCAGAGTCCCGTCACCCTATAAGCTCCCCTCCCCTCCAGACATTCCTCCTTTTCCTGAGCCCCCTCTTTCCTCTCTGAACCTCACCTTCCCCCCTTCACAGAATCCTTGTTCCCTCTCTAAGCCTCTCTCCTTCCTGGCATACCAACACCAGCAACTGCCTCCACTCAGCCCTAGCTCCTCTAGTGACCCCTCTCTCTTCCTTGCAGGGTACACGCAGCAACTGACCTACAGACATCCCAACAAGGCCTTTGCTGCCTACCAGAGTCGGAGGTCCAGCACCTGGTGAGCCTGCCCATCCTTGGCCCTGCTCCCCTTGAGCAGGGCCTGGGCCCTGACCTGGGGTGATCTAGGCTGGCCTCACACAAACACAGCCCTGTGCCTCTGGACCCCTCCACCTTCAGAGTCAAGGTACCCACTAGCTGAGTGACCTACTGTCACTAAGCACTGCCTACAATCAACATTGGGTCCTGAAACCTGGCCCAGGATACTGGGCTCACCTGAGCAGGCCCTGCCCCACTCTGCTCCTTGCTTGGCTGGGATGGCAGTCACTGGATCCCAGAGCCAATTGGCTCATGCTCTGTGCCCACCCCAGGCTGACAGCCTATGTGGTCAAGGTCTTCTCTCTGGCCGCCAACCTCATCGCCATTGACTCCGAAGTCATCTGTGGGGCTGTCAAATGGCTGATCCTGGAGAAGCAGAGACCTGATGGAGTCTTCCAGGAGGATGGGCCCGTGATACACCAAGAAATGACTGTAAGAGGCCGTATTCAGGGCAGCCTGGGGGAGAGGAGTGCCTGAGTGCCCCCGCATGGACAGGAGACAGGCTCTGTCTGCCATTTGCCCAATTCCCAGCGTGGGATGGACAGAGAAATAAAGGAGCCAAGAATGTCACTTCTCCTTTGCAAAACCCAGAGACCTCAGAGTCCAGTGCAAAATGAAAGTCCCCTAGCCCCTCATCACTTTGAAAAAAACCTGAGAAGTCCTTAGAATTGTGGTTCTCAAACTCTGGTCTCCAGGCCAAAAGCGCCAGCATCAGCTGCAAGTTTGTTAGAAATGGACATTCTTGGGCTGGATCCACATGCACTAATCAGAAACTTTGGGGGTGGGGCCTAGGAATCAGGGTTTTAATAAGCCCCCAACTCCAGGAAATGCTGAAATGTGCTCAAGTGAGTGAACCACGGCTTCAGCCTGACCTTTTGGGCTTCGAGACTCACAGCCTTCCCTCTCCACACTCCATCTGTACTGCCTGCAGCCTTGCTTCCGGGCACAGGGCCTTTGCACATAATGTTCCCACTGCCTGGCAAGTTACCACTTCCCTCTTTGACAGTTGAGTCCTACGCACTGTTCAGATTGTGGCTCCATCTGTCATCCCTTGGGGACACCTTTCCAACTGCTCTGACCAAGACACACCCCCGCTATCCATTCTCACTGCCACATCCACTTCTGCGCAGCTCTCATCAGTTTGTAACGATAGATCTGTGATGAGCATATTGGCTCATGCCTGTCTCCCCTACGAGATAGGGAGCTCCATGAGGGCTGGAGCCATCTTACCCACAACACCAGCAACATTTACAGAATGAGTGAGTGAATGAATGGATACTAGAGTATAGCCCTCCTGTGAGACACTAGGGAGAGACCCACCCCTGCCCTGCCCCGCTGATCCTGCAGGGGGGTGGTGGCATGAGGGGCACACGGGTGACACCATGCTTACTCCCTCCTCCACACCCTAGGGTGGCTACAGGGAAGCTGAGGAGAAAGATGTGTCCCTCACAGCCTTCGTTCTCATCGCGCTGCAGGAGGCTAAAGATACTTGCGAAGGACATGTCAACGTAAGTGTGCCCTGCCCTGCCCTCCTTCTCGCCCCCCCATCCTCCCACCCCCCTCTGCCCCACGCAGGCACAGCCATCGTGGATGTTCTGTAATTGTGGCATCTGCTTTGTCCTGCGGTTTTGAGAGTGGGTTGTTTGACCTTTAGCTTTCCAAGTGGGGAACTACAGGATCCCAACTTCACCAGCTGATTCTCCCTCCTCAGGACCCCAGAAAAGAGAGGAAGGAGAGGAAGGCTGTTATCTTTAAGGCCAAGGAGAACCCAGGCCTTTCTGGTTCAAACTTGCAGATTTGAAAGAAATTATGATTAGAAAAGAGACGGCTCTAGGGCAGTGGGGCCAGACAGATCTAAATTTAGATCGTAACCCTCAGGCACTTGCCCTTCCTGGACCTCAGTGTGTGCATCTGTAAAATGGGTATAATAATTTTTGTATTTTCTAGGACTCTCTAAGTTGTTATAGATGTAACACATGTATGAGCTACATTATGCAAAAACACAGGGTGGGGCAAAAGTAGGTTTACAGTTGAGTATGGGTAACACAGAGTTTATTGTTATCTTATTATTTATTAATTATTGTATTATGTACAAACAAATATAAACATACTTTTGCCCCACCCTGTAGATGGGGGAATTATTTTAAGAATCTAAGGATTTATCAAGTGCAAGGATGAAAGGAATCTTAGGGGCTCGACCAGGATGCTTTGTTCCTCTTTCCTATGTCCTTCATGTCCTTTTTGCCCAATAATTCAGCTTTCCTGCCACCCAGCCTACCTGGCAGAACAGAATTGTCTTCCTTGGGGAAGTTCCTAGCCCAAGGCTAGATCTTCCAGATTCTTAGGAAAGGATTCTGATTGGCTCAGCCTGGGTCAGGTGATCACTTCTGGATCAATTAGCTGAGACCAGGAAGTAGGTATTCCAGGGCAAATGACTGTTCCACTGTGGCCATGTAAATGACAGGAAGGAGAAGGTCCTACAAAAGTCAAGGGTGGATATAAGACAGAGGGCAGGCAAAAGGATTAATTTCTACTACAACATAGTGACATTTTCTACTACAACACAGCACCCTTATAACGGAGTATGGCATAGGCTGTGGAACTAGACTGCTGGGGTTCAAATAAAGAGCTTGCTGGAATTAGCTTGATAAAACCAATGGTTAGTATTCCAGGAATATTGCAAGTTGATTGTTGAATGCAATCATTATTAAATATTAAAGTATATAAACTTACATTTAAATAAATTAGTCTAAACACTACACATAAAAATAAAGGTAGTAGCCCTGGCCAGGTAGCTCAGTTAGTTGGAGCATCATCCTGTTAAGCCAAGGTGCAGTTCTATCTCCAGTTGTGGCACATACCAGAAACAGCCAATGAATGTATAGATAGGTGGAACAACAAACTGATCCCTCATTCTCTCCCCCCTCCTCCCTAAAAATCAATTAAGCAAAACAACAACAAAACAACAACAAAGGTAGTAAATCCTCAAAACTCATCATTTCTTAATTATTTTACTACCTTTTATCATTATCCATGATCTTGAGGTTATTTATGTCTGTTGTACATATACGGTGAACAAACTATATAATCTCTTCCCAATTCTACAGTCAGGGACTCCATGCTGGTAGGTTGAAATCAGCCATGGTTGTATTTACACTATAAAAATCAGCAAACACTACAACGCATATCTGCCTCTGCACCTCATCTCATGGGATTCAGTGTTCTCCTCTGTGCAGTAGAAATGATAATGAAAATAAAACCTACCTCATAGGATTTTGAGATCAAATGAGTGGATATGTGACTAGCACATAGGAAGTGTTAGCTACAATGACGATGATGATTAGATAATAGGTGGACCCAGTGGTGTGCTAACCCTGAGTGCCAATTTGGGGCATCTCTTTCCCACTCTATGTTAAGGTATGTCACACTGGTAGCTTGAAATTAGCATGGTGGGAGTATTTACACCACAGTCGTTGCCAATCAATAAACCAGCTCCCCTAACCCCCAACTCCTGCACTGACTAGACAACTGGTTATTAAATATTTACTAGCACACCATTGGTATACAAACTGCAGCAGGAGCACGATAGGTACTCAGTAACAGAGCAGTGCACAGTGGCTAAACTGTCTGGGGAACCCTTAAAAATAGACAGATCCAAGACAAATATGTACCAAGGCCAGAAAACTTATGATCAGGAAGTGGTGACTATGTGATCCTTGTCAGCTCTTTGGGGCAGCAGTGCCCACCTGACCAGAGTACCCAATCTTTTTCTCATAGAACCTTGGGGGCAGCATCAATAAGGCCGGAGACTTCCTTCAAACACACTACATGAACTTGAAGAGACCATATGCTGTGGCCATTGCTGGCTATGCCCTGGCCCAGTTGGGCAAGCTGGAGGGTCCTCTCCTGGACACATTTCTGAAAGCAGCCACAGGTGAGAGGCAGCCTGGTGGGGTAAGGAGATATACATGGCTAGGGGGTGAGGGTGGCCATCTTAACCTGGGCTGCATGGCTCCAAGCTGAGCTGGGATGAGTGGGTCTGGGTGTGAAAAGTCCTCATTGTAAGCATGACACAAAAGGTCCATTGCATGATTCAACAAGTATTTGTTGAGTACTTGCTATGACACAGGAGCAAGGACATGGGCTCTGACATCAGACAGATTCAATTTCAAAATCATATCACCCTCAGCCACATTCTCACGGTGTGATCTTGTACAATCCACTTAACCTCTATGGACATTGTGTATAAAATGATACCGACATCACAAGATTGGTGTGAAGATTAAATGAGTGATGAGTGTAGGAGAAGGTCTAGCACATAGTTAGAGATCTATCACTGATGTTATTATTGCCTTTGGTATTATTAATAACATTGCCATTATTTCAAGGGTTATTAGGATTAGATAAGAGAATGACATAGGAATTTTAGCACAATAAGTAGCACATCATGAGCACTTAATAACTGGTTCAAGTGATGACACCTTATCAGGTTTATGCTCACCTCTGTAACATATATGAATGTATACTGAAGTAGTTTAACACAGGGAAGTTGGTTTCTTGCTGTGTAACAGCACAGGGCGGGTGTCCCAAGTTGGTGGACAGCTCTCCTCTATACAGTGATGCAGGGATCCAGGCTCTATCTTCTCATGGCTATGCCACCTCGGGGCCTCGGTATCTCTTCTATTAAAGCAGAAGGGGAAACAGTCAGGAAGACCATGCAAGGGAGGTAGACCAGCCATGGAAGGGGCTCCGTCAATTGTTTTGCACTTTCCATTAGACAGAGCTCAGTTATGTGGCCATACCCACCTGCAAAGGCCTCTGGGAAATGTAGTCCCACTCTCTGAGCAGGAAGAGGAGGGAATGGTTCTTGGTGACAGTCTCTGTCATGAGTACTTTCTTAGGCACTTGGGACATCACAATGAATATGGCACAGCCCCTGCCATCATGGCCTCACGATCCAGTTGAGGAAAGAAATGAGTTAATAGATTCCTGTAGAGCATCATTGTGCTGGGACAGGAGAAGCACAGGATGCTTTAAGAGACAGAAAGAAAGGGTCTCACTCTGTCTTGGGTGCCATTGAAGCCAAATTGTGCCGAGTGGTTAAGGATTAACCTGGGGTACGTGGAGAAAAAGTGCTCCAAGATGGGACAACAGAACAAGCAATGGCTCAGAGGTGAGAATGAGCATGGCAAACGTAGGGAATCTGCTCCCATAGATCAGAGGGGCTGCAGTTCAGAATTTAAACAGAAGAGTAAAGGTTGATGAGGGAAGAGAGTAAGGCAGGAACCAGCAGACAGAAAGCCACAAATGTGGGCCAGGACACTTGAACACCGAGGTCTAGTACAAGTCTGTTTCTGAGCTTTCTCTGAACTACCTCCAGGCTGGACAGAGCAGTGAGCATGGGGGCTGGTGTTCTCTCTTGTAGATAAGAACCACTGGAAGGAGCCTGAGCAAAGGCTCCACACTATAGAGGCCACATCCTATGCCCTGTTGGCTCTGCTGCTGCTCAAAGACTTTGACTCTGTACCTCCTGTTGTGCGCTGGCTCAACGAGCAGAGATTCTACGGAGGTGGCTATGGCACCACCCAGGCAAGTGGTCCCACATCCCCCGGGCAAATGCATCCTTACCTCCTCTGGTCTGACTATCACCCAGATAAGATGCTGAGACCAAGAGAGACAGTTGATTGGAATGAAGTTGAGAAATCAGGTTTTGGTTTTTGTTGCAAATCTGTCTATGGATTCTACACTAAATTCTGGATGCCTCAAGCTGCATTTTGAGACTCCCTTTCCCTCCTGGTGTCCAGATCATGTTCTCAAGGCCCAGGTTCAGGGGTGAACCTCTCTCTGATGGGTTCTAAACCATGTTTCTAATTCCACCAGGCGTCCCATCTTACTTTGTTTCACTGGTGGGTTCTAGACCAATTCTCAATTATTATAGGGAATCATCAAGTCCATTTTTCCCTCTGGAGGGTTCTAGACCATGCACTCAGTTCCACGAGGCTCCCAGTGTTACCTTGTCTTACTGTGGATTCTAGATCATGGTCTCAGTTTTCTAGAGTCTTATCGAAGCCTGCTCTCTTCCAGCTGGGTTCTAGACCACGGTTGCAGCAGCCTCAAGTCTAAAAAGCTCAGGCTTCAGTTTGATCCCCTTTCTCTCTGGTGGCATTCTCAGATATTTAATAAATCCTCATCCAAGAATATGTTTATTGATTTGAGAGAGAGAGGAAGGGAGAGACAGAGAAAAAAACACACACATTGATGTGAGAAACATCAATGGAATACTTCCCGTATGTGTCTTGACCGGGGATGGAATCTGCAACCTTTTGATGCATGAGCCAATGATCCAACTAACTGAGCCACCAGGCCAGGGCTCAGTGTAATTTTTGGATTCTACATTATATGCTTAGTTGTCCCCAGGTTCCAATTTTATTATTTGTTCACAAATGGGCTCTAGATACATTCTCGGTGTCTGTAAACCCTGTGTTAGTCTCTCTTCTCTGGATGGGTCTAGACCACATTCTCGGTGTACTAGACCTTCATTCATTTTGGTTTTGTTGTTGTTGTTTTGTAGCAGCTGTTGGCAATTTTTTATTGTATTTACTTTAAAATATATTTTTATTGTTGATAGTATTACACATATCTGCCCCTTGCCTGTTTCCCTTCTCCTCCCAGCCCCTACCCACCCACCCCCAAGTCTTCACTACCTTATTCCAAGTGTCCATGGGCTAGGCATATTAGACCTTCAGTCTTATGCCTGCTCTTTCTCATGTATCTAGACATGCTCAGTGTCTCCACACTCTGGTGTAAGCCTCTGTCCCTTGGAGAATTCTAGGAGATGTCCTCAGTGTCTAATGACCACTAGTCTTACCCTTGTGCCCTCTGGTCCCGTCTAGGTCACTGTCTTAGTGTCACCAAGCACTAGACTGAGCCTCTCTCACTGAGAGAGTTCTAGAACATGTCCTCAGTATATAACAACCCCCATTCTTATCCTCACCCCATCTGGTGCATTTTAGGCCACAGTCTCAGTAGCCTAGCTCTAAGCTGAAACTTTTCATCCCCCAGCAGGTTCTGACTGCTTTCTCAGTCTCTCACATCACCCTCTTCTTCTCTCATGGGTTCTAGGCCACTTTCATGGTGTTCCAAGCCTTGGCCCAATACCAGAGGGATGTCCCTGACCATGAGGATCTGAATCTGGATGTGTCCATTGACCTGCCCAGCCGCAGCTCTGTGGTCACGCACCGCATCCTCTGGGAATCCGCTAGCCTCCTGCGATTAGAAACGGTACAGCTGCTTGGCCAAACCCTCCTCGCTCTCATCCTCCAGCCAGGCAGAGTCTGCAGGAGGCAGGAGGGAGTGCAGGTGACCATTGCAGCCAGGGGAAGGCTTGGCTCCCAACACCTTCTCCTCTCTCCCCACTCCCTGCAGACCAAGGAAAATGAGAATTTCACAGTAACAGCTAAAGGGAAAGGACAAGGCACCTTGTCGGTAAGGATGGGAGCCCACACCTGCTTTGCTCATCACCTTCTCTCAGCCCCTCTGGCCCAGAGGGACCATCTCCTTCCCAAGTCATGTTGGCTTACACCTCATCTCCCCTCCCATCTCCCTAGGTGGTGACAATGTACCAGGCCAAGATCAAAGGCAGAACCTCTTGCAATAAGTTCAGTCTCAAGGTTAACCTGCGACCAGCCCCTGAAGGTAGAAGGAATAAAGACCCTATCTGTCACCCTTCCCCCACTGCCATTCTAGTGTCTGCCCTGCTCCTGAATCAGGACCCAGCCCTCCATCCTTCTGTCTTCTATGTTTCTAGTGAAGAAGCCTCAGGACGCCAAGAGCACCATGTTACTCAACATCTGTACCAGGTAAGACATGGGTCACTGGGGTTCATCTCGCTCATCCCTCTGTCTCTAGCAAGACTTCCTGTAAATAATATCCGAGGTACCTACTAGCCTCTGGGAATGTGTTGTGTGCTTAGTACTGTGCTGAGCACCCTCCAGAATGTAGACAGCACGGCATGGTGGTGTGAGACTAGCCGTGACCACATAAGCTGAGACTGTGAAAAGTGATGTTGATAATCAACAAGGAGGATTACAACTGTTACAGGAATTTTCCATTATTCTTATTTTTAAATTTTTATTTCTTTCAGAGAGGAAAGGAGAGGGGGAGAGATAGAAACATCAATGATGAGAATCATTGATTGGCTGCCTCCTGTACTCCCCATACTGGGGATAGAGCCCTCAACCAGGGCATGTGCCCTGACCAGGAATTGAACCGTGACCTCCTGGTTGAGCCACACTGGCCTGGCTTACATTATTATTTTTTTATCACAACATTGAAAACTCTCATATTTCCAGTTATAAAAGTATAGAGTAATGAAAAGTATAGTTAAGACGAGTATTTTTTTTTTTTAGTGCACTGTAATTTAAAACGTCAGAACATTGTGCCCTAGCTGGTTTGGCACAGTGGATAGACCTTTGGCCTGCTGACTAAAGGGTCCCGGCTTCAATTCAGACCAAGAGCACATGCCTGGGTTGCAGGCTCAATCCCCCCAGTAGAGGGGGCGGGTGCAGGAGGCAACCAATCAATTATTCACTCTCATCATTGATGTTTCTATCATTCTATATCTCTCACTTTCATTCTGAAATTAGTTAAAAAGTAACATGTCATAACATTGAGATTGAAGTTGGTTTTGATTTTTTGTGAAGCACTCAGCCCAAAGCCCTGTGGTTTGAATAGTGGCTCTATTCTTCTCTGTAGCACAGTGGTTCTCAAACTTCCTGATGACACAACCCTTTAGTACAGTTCCTAATGTTCAGGTGACCCCAAACATAAAATTATTTTCGTTGCTACTTCATAACTGTAATTTTGCTACTGTTAATTGTACTGTAAATACTTGACATGCAGAATGTATTTTCATTGTTACAAATTGAATATAATTGAAGCATAGTGATTAATCACAAAAAAATATGTAATTATAAATGTGTTTTCCGATGGTCTTAGGTGACCCCTATGAAAGGGTCGTTTGACCCCCAAAAGGATCTCGACCCACAGGTTGAGAACCGCTGCTGTAGCACTTATGATATGGAGCAAGCATCTGTTCTATGACGCTGTGAAGTGTCATGCTCCATTCTAAGTTTAGGTCAACTTCCCACAGGTAATCCTCTGAGCTTTCGATGTCACGAGGTATTTAAGAGTTCCGTTCCTTCACCGTGAAATGTTTTCCAGTGTCACCTCCTCTGGGACATCATTTTTGGCTACAACAACTTTCTTCATTTATGTTGATGCCCTGCCTTCACTAAGTGCCTCTGGCCCCATGATGGTCTCTCCAAGGGCAGCAGGTCCACATTACCACCATCTGCTGTTTCTTTTCTGACTCCGTTTAGGTGCTGCTGAAATTTCACTCCCAGTGTTACCACTCTCATTTCTGTGCTGCACTTTCACCTTAGCTGGCAATTCCCTTTCAATGATCCATTTTGGTAAAATCTCACATAGTTTTTTTTTTACTGAGAGAGAAGGAAGTAACACAACCACACACATGGTTTGAATGACGGGTGCTCCGTGACCCATCAGTGACAGACTTTGAAATAAGTGACGTGATTGGTCATTGATTGTAATGCTCACTTGTTTACATAGTGGTGGGTGGACTGAAGAGCTGGCAACAAGGTTTGTCCTTAAGGCATTTGCTCATTAATATATTGTGGTACTGGAATTAGACCATGTTGCTGAGGGACTGGTGTTATTGAACTAGACAGTGATAATGGAATCATGCAAAGTGAGACCTGCCTGTACTCTTGTCTTCATTTTCTAGAAGAACTGAGGTTCGAAGAGGTGAAGTGACTCATCCAATGTCACATCGAGCTGGGATGTGAACCCATGTAGTTGGGCTTCAGAGGCTGAGCAGTTAGTTGCCTTAACCATTACACACCTTTCCTTTATTCCCATTGGGGAGTGTTTCCTAAGATCTGACATCCTCTGTGCTGCTGTGTGGGAACCAGAAGACTCACTCACTGATCAGACCCCCTTGTCCAGGCACTGACCCCTAGGGCTAACCCTCTCTCCCTGCCCCATCCAGGTACCTGGGAGACCACGATGCCACTATGTCCATCCTGGATATATCCATGATGACTGGCTTTGCTCCTGACACTGCTGACCTCAAGCAGGTGTGAAAATCCTGGGCTCAGGGGCTAGGATTGGTGGGAAGGAGCCTGGGGCCTGGCAGAGGCTGAAGAAAGGACGGGATTTTCACAAGCTCTTCCCTTCTCCAGCTGGCCAGTGGCACTGACACGTACATCTCAAAGTTAGAGTTGGACAACAAGGCCTTCTCCAACAAGAACACCCTCATCATCTACCTGAAAAAGGTGAGGCTTCCATTGGGACCTTGACCCATATGTGGCTGGACTTTTCCTTCTCTACTGGTCTTTGTCTTAGAGTCCTCTGCTTGATCCATTCCTTCTAGAGGAAAAGAGGATTGATAGTGCATGAGATGGGTTTTAAATTTTTTTCATTTTCATTTTTGTACTTTTAATTTTTTTAAGGAATCCCAACCCTACAGAGATATTATAGAGAAGTATAAAAAGTTTCATATACTCTTTAGCCAGATTCATTAATTGTTAGGAATTTCCTCCAAGTATACATGTCTATCACATATACATACACGTCTGACTTCCTTCCTTCCTTCCTTCCTTTTTTTTTTAAAATATATTTTATTGATTTTTCACAGAGAGGAAAGGAGAGAGATAGAGAGTTAGAAACATCGATGAGAGAGAAACATCGATCAGCTGCCTCCCGCACATCCCCCACTGGGGATGTGCCCGCAACCCAGGTACATGCCCTTGACCAGAATCGAACCTGGGACCCTTCAGTCCGCAGGCCGACGATCTATCCACTGAGCCAAACCGGTTTGGGCCCTTCCTTCCTTTTTTTCTTTCTCATTTATTTTCCCAGATTTATTGAGATATAATTAACATATAACATTGGGTAAGTTTAAGGTATACAATGCAATGATTGGATATATGTATATTGGAAAATGATGAACACAGTAAGGTTAGTTAGCACATGTACAACCTCATAGTTTTAACGTGTGTGTGTGGTGATAACTTTTAAGATTTACTATATTAGCAGCTTTCAAATATGCAGTGCAGTATTGATAACCATGGGATGTTTTTAGGGGCACAGATAGCAATCCGTTGGCTAAAATTCAATTTCATGGTCACACCAAATGGAAAGGGAGGCTGAGAAGTGTAATCTGGCCATGAGCCTTGGAGAAAAAGAAAATAGATTTGTTGACCTGCTCATTAATCTTTGTCACTTCTCACCCACCCATCCTCTCCACGCAGATCCCTCTTGGTCCCCTGTTTCTCCTTTTGCTGGACTCCCCCACTCTGACTCACCTCCTGCTTTTCCCAGATCTCACACGATCAAGAGGACTGTGTATCCTTCAAAGTTCACCAGTTCTTTAACGTGGGGCTCATCCAGCCGGGGGCAGTCAAGGTGTACTCCTATTACAACCCGGGTGAGCAGCCAACCTCGGGGCTGGGGTCTGAGGGTCCCAAGGTTCTATAAGATGGGGGTCCCAGGGCTTGGTGATTGAGGACCTGGGAGTTCCAGGGTTCAGGACTTAGCATCTCCAGGTCTGAGGGACTGGAGTTGGGAACTGAGCCCACAGGCATGGTCTTGGGTGGAGGCTTTAGTTCTCTGATGCCTCCCACTCCCTCTGCCCACAGATGAGACTTGTACCCAGTTGTACCACCCGGAGAAGGAAGATGGAATGCTGAGCGAACTCTGCCACAATGAAATATGCCGCTGTGCTGAGGGTGGGTGCATAGGAGCCAGGAAGTGGCAGGCAACGCCCACTTAATACCTCACACACACACACCTTCCATGGCAGTGATGCAAGGGGCCCCAAAAGCCCACAACCAGGGGACACCAAGAAGGATGGGCCTGGGGCTGACCACACCCATGAGTGGTGGGCCCTGGATGAGAAGTGGAGTTTAGATCATGTCCTCTCCCCACCCACCCCACAGAGAGCTGCTTCATGCACCATTCAGAGGACCAGGTCACCCCAGAAGACCGGGTGGACAAGACCTGTGAGCCAGGAGTGGACTATGGTGAGGAACGGGTGGGGAGACACACGTGCAAGTGTGATTGTGTGTGAGTGATGGTGTGTGTGGCTGTGATTGTGTGGGTGAGACTATGTGATGACAGGTGTGGTTATGGTTGTGTGTGTGTGACTGACTATGAGTGGCCACAGGTTCATGTGTTTCAGGCTATGGTTGTCGGTGACTAGTGTGTGTGTTATTAGAGGCCATGCTTGATGGGGAACCATGGCTATGACTTGGCTGGGTATGTGCAAGAGTGTGAACAAAGGTGTTTGTGAGTAGATGTGGTTGTGTGTGTCTGAGAGTGAGGTTGTAAACAGCCATGATTGTGTGAGATGGTGACAGTGGATAGGCATAGCTGTCCCTGTGTATACCATGAGTTGTGAGTGGCTATAATTGTGTGCAAGGCTGTAGGTGACTATGTGTGAGATGGTGTTGTGAGTAACTGTGACCATATGTGGCTGTGTGTAAGAGATGGCGGTTGTGGGTAACAGTAGACAGGAGTAACTGTCCTTGTGTATGGGATGAGTTGTGGGCGGCTGTAACTGTGCACATGGCTGTGGGTGACTATGTGAGATGGTGGTTGTATGACCCTGTGTGGCTGCATGTGGCTGCTTGGGAAGCCATGTGCCCAGGTGCCCTTACAGGTAGGCTGCCCTGCTATGAAGCCTGCCCATGACCCATGCTGGTCCTTCCCCCCCACCCACACCATCCCACCCTGCAGTGTACAAGACCAGTCTGCTCAGGAAGGAGCTGTCCGATGATTATGACGAGTACATAATGGTCCTCAAGCAGATCATCAAATCAGGTCAGCCCTGGGCTGCCTTCTGTCTTTCCGCCTTCCCCTCCCTTCTCCTGCCTCCTCCACCCCAGCTCAGCGTCGTTCTCTCCCCTCCAGGCACAGACGAGGTGCAGCCTGAACAGGAGCGCAGGTTCATCAGCCCCGTCAAGTGCAGAGCAGCCCTGAAGTTGCAGGAGGGGAAACACTACCTCATATGGGGCCTCTCCTCAGACCTGTGGGGAGAGAAATCCAAGTGAGTGCCCACCCTGCACATGTGTGTGCTCGCCCCACCCACCCTTCCAGGGCCTCTCCTGACCTGCCGTGTGTCCCTCCTCCCCAGCATCAAGTACATCATCGGGAAGGACACCTGGGTAGAGCTGTGGCCTGAAGCAGACGAATGCCAAGACGATGAGAACAAGAAGCTGTGCAGGGACCTGGCCAGCTTCAGAGAGAATATGATCGTGTTTGGCTGTCCCAACTGAGCCCCCGTCCAGAACCCCCCCAATAAAGCTTCAGTTGTATTCCATGTGATCTCCCAAAGTCTGGACGTCTTTGTGAGATGGAAAGCAACAGCTCTGTTCCCTAGCTGCCTCACCTGCATCTCAGCTCAGTCCTTACTAGAAATCCCCAAGAATCTCATTTGCATTCTCACCTGTGCATTTATGTCCTCATCATCCTCACCTGAATCTCACCGCCCCCTCACCTGAGTTCTCATCTACTTGCTTTCTGGCCTTCTTACTGCATCCTCACATGAATTTTTCCCACATTCTCATGTGAATCTTTACCTCCTCTCTTACCTGCATCCTCAACTACATCCACCTGCATTTTTTTGCATCCTCACCTGGCCCCCCACCTACATGTGTGTCCGTAAACTTACCCGTATCTTTACTTATATTTTCACCTGCATCCGCACCTGTTCTCATACTCCTCATTCACAGCTCACTATCTCCAATGGCATTCTCACCTGCATTCCCTTTTTCCTCTAGGCTCACTTCCCAGTCAGCACTTTCTAGATGGGCCTGAGCAGGCTCCTCCATGCTTCTGTAGGACCCAGTGGGGAGGCTGTGCCCAGGAGAGGGCGGAAAGGGGCAGGCAGGGTGATATTTCCTGTGGGGGAGCCTGAGTGAGTAAGGGGAAGGCATGGGTCAGCTGTTGAGGAGAGAGTGCCTGGCTGTTGCAGTCACAGCATCACCAGAACTGAGTGGGGTGGTGGGGTGGTGGGGTGGGGATGACAGCCACCGGGTTGAGTGGAACTACTGGTTACAAAGTGAAACTGGGACTCCAAAGGCCTCATCTAGTCTCTAGATCTTCGAAGACAGTTGAGAGTGGGACCCAAGCACAGGGTTCTGGATCCGGTCGTCATGGAAAAAACCCTACGGCCTGGAAGTCACCCCAGCACAGCCACTTGGCCCTAGAGCCCCTGGTCCTAGAAACCCCCACCTCCCACTTCCAGGATGGTGGGGGAACACATTCACAGCTCAGCCTAGCTTCCTCCAGCCCCCACTTGCCAGATACTTCCATGGAGAGGAGACTCAAGGACCCTCATCACTCACTAGGTGTCCCAGCTGACATCTGCCTGTGCGTCTTCTCGTTTCTTTTCTTGCCTGTTTCCCCTTTCTCCTGCCCTGGGTCCGTTGTCCTCATTTCTTTAACACCTGGGGTTGAGTGTCGCTTGAGCACCTATGGTTCTAGGCTGTGAACATTCTGAGGACAGCAGAGAGTCGATTTCAGACAGCGAGGAAAGGAGAGCAGGGCAACGTGAGCAGGCCTGGCTGTGATGGGGCCACCAGTAAAGGTCCTTTACATGAGGGTGGTTCATGTCCTGTGTGCACTTAGCCAGGCCATGGAGACCAGGCGTTTGGTGAAACACCAGCTAAATGTAGCTAGGAAGGTATTTTAAAAATGGGATTCACATCTCTTGTCAGTTGACTTTAAAAGCAGCTTACCTTAGCCCAGCCAGTGTGGCTCAGTGCTTGGGCATTGACCTTCAAACCAGGTAGTCACAGCTTGATTCCAATCCGGCCACATGCAGCTCAATTCCCATTAGGGGGCGTGCGGGAGGCAGCTGATCAATGATTCTCTCTCATCACTGATGTTTCTATTTTTCCCTCTCCCTTCTACTCTGAAATAATATATATATATATATATATATATATATATATATATATATATTTCAAATATATATATTTCAAATATATATATATATTTCAAATATATATATATATATTTCAAATATATATATATATATTTCAAATATATATATGAAAAAGTAGTTTACCTTTGATAATGTGGGTGGGTCTTATACAATCAACTGAGGGATGAAGAGAAAAAAAATCGGGTTTCCTGAAGAAAAAGAGATTCAAGACAGCAGTGTAGAAATTCTAGCCTTCAGACTAAATGCTGTGTCAACTCAACTGAATCTCTAACCCACTGGAGATTTCAAACTAGCTGAGACACACAATTGCATGGGCCAACTCCTTAAAGTAAATCTGTTTCTCTGTCTTCCCATATACAAATAGACAGATGATCCAGATTAAATATAGATATAAATTAGATACAGAAACCCCTGCCTATTGCAGATGGTCAGGGATGTCTCCTGTGAAAGGGGCGGTTCTTGAGTCAAGGCATAGATGACAAGGAGGACGTGGAAAAGACTGTTTCAGGCAGAGGGAACAGTACATGCAAAGGCCCTGAGATACCTGTTGCAGGGTGAGCGAGGGTACAAGGGCTTCAAGATAGTGACACCCACTTAGTGTCTAAGCCCAGGGGATGGCAAGCTTTTTCTCTAAAGGGCGAGATGGTAAATATCTCAGGCTTTGAGGGGTGAGAGATAAAATGGAAGCTATTATTAAGGCACTTCCACCCTGCCACGCTGTTTGCTTGGGATGGGCCACTGGAGTGATGGGCGTGACTTGTGGCCCACTGCTGGAGACATTCTCTGGATGAAGAGTGATCAAACTGAGGCTTGGCAATCTAAGCAGTGGCAGGAGTGGGGGTGACCCCCAAGGCCAGTTTCTGTCTCTGCTCCAGTTCTCAGCCAGCCTGTCCCTTCCAGGCCCAGCTCTCTCATCTGGATAGCTGGCCAGAGGCACGGCGACATGTTGAGTGACCCACCCCCAGAATGAGATTCATCCACTCAGTGTCTTCCAGTCACCACCAGAGGACATTCCAACATGTTGGGGTGGTCAGTGTGCCCATCACAGAGCGTGGACAGTGGTCAGGTTTGGGCTGCTGGTCAGGGAGGCAGAGTGGGGTTTAGGGGCAGAGGAGAACCCCCAGCTGTGTCTCTACAGCTCACTGAAGTCCCACCCCTGAGAACTGCTCCTGCAGCTGTACAGAAGCAGGAGGTCCACCGGATTGGCCTGCTTATTTTTGCTAATAAGCTCAATGAGAGGCCATTGAAAGATTTTATATATTTTTTAATTTTGTAAATATATTTTTATTGATTTCAGAGAGGGAGACAGAGAGATAGATTTATCAATGATGAGAGAGAATCATTGACTGGCTGCCACCAGCACCCCCCCACTGGGGATTGAGCCTGCAACCCGGGCATGTGACCTTGACCAAGAATCGAACCATGACCTGGTTCATAGGTCGACACTCAGCCACTGAGCCATGACAGAGGGCCACTGGAAGATTTAAACAGGGGGGAGATGAGAGCTGCCTTAAATGTTAAAAAGTCTAATGCAGGCCATTTCAATTCTAGTTATGTACCCCAAAGAATTGAAACCTGGTACCATGACAAATATACGTGCATGCAGGCTCACAGCAGCATGATGCTGAATACCCAAGAGATGGAAGCAACTTAATGCACATCAACAGATGCATGGACACACAAATGTGGTTCTTCCACACAATGGAATACTATTCAGCCATAACAGAGGATCAAAGCACTGACACTCACTATGATGTGGATGAACCTTGAAAACATTATACTCAGTGAACAAAGACCACACATTGCATATTTCCATTTCTATGAAATATTCAGAACAGGTAATTTGAGAGCAAGAATGAAAACTAGTGGTTGACCAGGGCTGGGAGGATTGGGGAATGGGAAGTAACTGCTTAATAGCTATGGGGTTTCCTTTGGGGGCATTGAAAATGTCTTGGAACTAGACAGAGTTGCACAACATTGTCAATGTATTAAATGCCACTGAGCAACCTCTTTGAAATGGCTAGTTTTAGGATATATGAATTTCACCGCAATGAAAGAAAATATAAATAACTAAGGAAGGTCACACTAACTAGAGGATAGAGAATGAATTGTAAGGTGACAAGAGGTAAAGCAGGACATGCAGCTGGAAAGCCACTGCAACCGTCCATGCAAGAAATGATGGGTGGCTTAATGTGTCAGTCCATTCAGGCTATTAGAACAATATGCCCTAGACCAGTGGTCGGCAAACTGCGGCTCGAGAGCCACATGTGACTCTTTGGCCCCTTGAGTGTGGCTCTTCCACAAAATACCACCTGCGGACGCTCACATACAGTGCGATTGAAACTTCTTGACCCATGCGCAGAAGTCGGTTTTTAGCCTGGGCGAGTCTATTTTGAAGAAGTGGCGTTAGAAGAAGTGGGTGTACGTTCGCTGAAGTCGACCCCTCAGATTGAGGACGTTTTTAGCAAAGGCCAGCTTAGGAGTACCCTAATTAAGTTAATAACAATGTACCTACCTATATAGTTTAAGTTTAAAAAATTTGGCTCTCGAAAGAAATTTCAGTCATTGTATTGTTGATATTTGGCTCTGTTGACTAATGCATTTGCGACCACTGCCCTAGACTGTGTGGTTTAAACCACAGACCTTTATCTCGCACAGTCTGGGAGCTGGAAGCCAAGATGAGGGTGCCAGCTTGGTGGGGTTCTGGAGAGAGCTCTCTTCCTGGCTTGCAGATGACCACCTGCTCACTGTGTGTTCACATGGGAGAGAGAATCTCTCTCGCCTGTCATCTTCTAAGGGCACTAATCCCATCACTAGGACTTCACCCTCATGACCTAATAATCTCCCACAAATTCCACTCCCAGATACCATCACATGGGGGGTTAGGGCTCCACATATGAATTTTGAGGGACACAAACATTCAGTCCAGAGCACTTAGCTCAGGTGGTCGTGCTATCAAGGAGGCGACAAGACCTCGGTGTTTGTCTTCTTGAAGGAAAGATTTCCACTATTTGGCTATTGTGAATAACCCTGCTATGAACATGGGCATGCAAATATCACTTGGAGTCACTGCTTTTCATTCTCTGGATATAGAACCAGAAGTGGAATTTCTGGATCATATAATAATGCTATTTTGTATTTTTTGAGGAATCACTATGGTGTGTTTCATTGTGGCTGCACTATTTTACATTCTTAACATCTCCTCAATCCTTCTTTATTGCGTATTTTGCAGTGGCTCTGTGCATGTTTCATATGTGAGACCATGAGATCAATCTTGTTCATATATTTTTGAAATTAATGTCTTTGCTTTTTTGTCTCCTTAAGCTA